TCTATCTATTCTGTCGTTCTATCTATCTGTTCTGTCGTTCTATCTATCTATCTATTCTGTCGTTCTATCTATCTATTCTGTCTATCTATCTATTCTGTCGTTCTATCTCTCTATCTATCTATCTATTCTGTCGTTCTATCTATCTATCTATTCTGTCGTTCTATCTGTCTATCTATCTATCTATTCTGTCATTCTATCTATCGTTCTATCTATCTATTCTGTCGTTCTATCTATTCTGTCATTCTATCTATTCTGTCGTTCTATCTATCCATCTATTCTGTCGTTCTATCTGTCTATCTATCTATCTATCTATTCTGTCGTTCTATCTATCTATTCTGTCGTTCTATCTATCTATCATCTATCTATGTTCTATCTATCTATTCTATCTATTCTGTCGTTCTATCTATCTATCTATATGGCACTTTTTGGTGTTTTTAGTGTATTACTTTTATAAAGCGAAAAATATTATTTTAAAGGAGTCAAAGATTTGTTTTGGAGGAGAAAATACGTTGTTCCTGTTGTTTTCTTCATCTTCTCATTTGTTTCCTCCAGCTCTGGGAGGATGTGAGGCGCATGTGTCGTGTATTAATCCTCTTACTGCAGCAGATGCTCGTCTGTCAATCAACCTGACGCGGGTGCGCGCGCTCGAACTTGACTTGAGAGCGCGAGAGAAAGAACACAGCAGGTGCGCGAGGGATCCGCGCCGTCATTTAGCGATGCAGGAATGGTAACTAAAGCCGTTTATTGAGCTAAACATGTCTTGACAGCGGCCACAGGCTTGTTTTGAACCACCAAAGTTGCATTTGTTTACCGGACAACGCAATGCCGTCGCAGGACGAGGCTCCTCAGCGACCGTACCTGAGCGCCGGGTCAAGTGTGTGCTGGTCGGGGACGCGGCGGTGGGTAAAACGAGTCTGGTCATCAGCTACACCACTAACGGATATCCGGCAGAACACATTCCCACCGCCTTTGACAACTTCACAGGTGAACTCAAACTCCACACTGATTCTAGCGTGCGCTCAAGTACGCACCTGGTGCCTTATACGCCGTTTTATATTACAGTTATATAGACTAGCCTATCTAAGTATATAGACCAGTCATGAACTTTTTGACTCCTCGCAAGTGTTATTTCCTTGACAATACATTAAGCTCAACTTTATGATCAATTAAATATTAATACAAATTGATAAACATAGAAGTGACAAATCTAACACCAGTTTGTGTTGATGGATGGATGAACTCTTTCTCTCTGTGCTTTGAATGGCAGAGATGGGGGGGCAGCGGATCAGCCTCTATATGTAAGCAACAGGATATGACGGAAGAGCGCCACCTAGTGTTAGAATCAGATCATGCATTCTCTTAGTGCTGAGTCCTGTAGATTTTTGTGACTGTCAAGTAGGTTGACTCTGTGATGTTCTGCACACAGTACTAGAACTTGCTCATCAGACTGATCATTTGCCATACTTGCATATCTTTTGTTATAAATAGAAAAGCACATGCAATCTAGAAGTTTGAAAAAATTATGCAAGTAGCATAACTGCTGCTCTTCTTTGCAATGCATATATTTATAAATATAGGTTACAATATTTGAATTAGTAAGTCAAATGTGGCAGCTGTCTCACTTTTCTTTCTGTTTTCAAGATGAGTTTGAGCGCCTCCGTCCACTCTGTTACCGTGACGCTGATGTCTTCCTGCTCTGCTACAGCGTGGTCCTTCCATCCTCCTTCAGGAGCGTGACGGCCCGCTGGGCCCCCGAGGTCCATCGCCTCTGTCCGGGCGTTCCCATCATCCTCGTGGGCACCCAGAGCGACCTGCGGGAGGACGTCCAGGTGCTGATCAGACTCGCGGATGGCCAGGAGAAACCGGTGAGCGGAGACGACGCCCGCCTGTGCGCCCGGAGCATCAGCGCCGTCACGTTTGCTGAATGCTCAGCGCTGACGCGGAAGAACCTGAAGGAAGTGTTCGACGGCGCCATCTTGGCCAGCATGCGGCACGCGGAGGAGGCGGCTTGGCCAAGGATGCACACGCTGAGAGAAAAAACTCCAGATAAAATCAGGCAGCTCTCAGAAACATGGTGGAGGAAACTGAGCTGTGTCCAGAACTTTGACCTTCAGTGATGGAGAATCCACTTACGCCACACTGGTGGGTCTGAGTTGCCTTCCGCTCACAATATATAAACCCTCTTAAAGTCAAGTCCAGATGAAATGGGATTCACAGACACATTTTACTGTGATGCATTTCCAAATTAAACTGCATATTCAGCGAGCAACAATGCAGGACAGGACGTGAATTTACTGTGAAATGTTTACAACAACAAACATTTTTTTGTCTGGAATAATTTGTGCGCAATAATAAAAACATGCATTAGGAAGTAAATAGGGTCAGTTTTGATTCATGTTTACTTATAGACATTTTAGATATGACAAAATGATCATTTTCATTGAAAAGTTATGTAAAAACTTGAAAGTACATAACAGATCAACTGATAAATAATTGAAAGGACTTTTTTGTAAAAGCCCTTGTCGTAAGAGAAAGAGAAGGGAAAAGATGAGGATACCATTTGTAGCCATATGTGAATTTAAATATTATTATTATAGAATAATAAAAATTAAAGAGAATATTTAGATAGTTTGGAGTATGCCTTCATCACAGAAAAAAATTACATTCTGAAATATATTCAAATAGAAAAGTTATTTTAAAATGTAAATATATATTAAAAAATTTTTTCCTGTCTTAATTGGACCTCCTTTAGCGTCACCTGTTACGTGTTGTATATCCTGTGACCCAGAAGTGTTTGTGTCGTTTGGCCCAGTACCTTGCATTCATAGCAGTGGATTAGCTGATCCTGTGAACAGACAGAAGATCAAGACTGAAGGAGTGGGATTTGATGTCTGCGTTACACCTGTTGGACTCCGGTATAGTCTGATGTTTTGTTTACCTCTTCATTTCAACTGTTTACTTCATTTTATACTCAAGATAATTCATACAAAGGAACTGAAATGAAAGTGTTACAGTGTTTTCGTCTCGTACATTTACGTAAATTAGTGTAGAGTTAGCTTTGCGTCAATGAAAATGAACTTCGCCCCGTAGGTCTCGTTTAGACAGCCCTGTCAAAGGTCCGTATGGCCCTAAAACCTTTCATTCATTTACATCATTGTGTTACGCTCTTCCCTCGGCAATCTGGGACTCTCACAGCAGACGTAATTATTGCCACAATTACCTGCACGATGACACTTACTGCAGGCTCTGAGTGGGTCTGAATGGAGTCAATCTAACAACTGAAATAACACAAAACCCTTTAATTGCAGCCTCTAATATCTGACTCGCAGGTGCCGGCTGAAGCTTGTACAGTAATGAGATTCATACGTGCAAATATACTAAGTTTAGTGAGGTTTAAACTCCTGAGCTTCTTCTCAGTGTGTCACTCTGTATCGAGAATATAAAGAACTGAAAAACTCATATTGATTGACTACTAATATGAATTGCAAAATGGAAGTTTTTATGCATTTAGCATCTTATTGCATTCAACACTTATCAGTTCATGCATTGAATTAAAACCCATAACCTTGGCTTTGCTAGCACCATGTTTTAATATTTGAGCTACAGAAATGTATGCATGCATTTACTTAAAAAAAAAAAAAATTATACAAAGTTTTAAAATGAGGAAATTCTATTTGTTTTTTCATATGAACTTCATTTTCAATTTTTATGTAATGATTTATTAGGTGTCATTAGCAAACTGCTCAGTATTAAATAGACTTAAATTCAGAAATAGTGGTTTATTTTTATTCTTGTGAATTTACTGCAGCGAGGCGGTCCGGAGCCGCTGCTGATCCTGTAATGGGTCGAGACAGAAGCCACCTGTGGGAATTAGGTGGGCAGATGGCGACTGGTTTTCCCCTCACAGCATCTCTTGACCTCAACCTCCACCTGCTGCAGAAATCATGCAGGAATAACATCAGAACAACAGGCATTGAGAGCTGAACCTGGGTCATTTTACCAGTATGACTCAGTTCAGCTGGTATTCTGGGCCGATGACAATCGAGAGTGTGACTTACATTTTTTTTTTCTTCTAAAAACATGACTGGAAACAATATTTCTTACTCGGCGTATTTTAATACACTGTTGTTGTCAATAGTATTCATCAATATAAGGCTTTAATTGTCTCTCTAGTAGTAGTGCACTTATGGAGCTTCACCTGTAGAGGACATTATTGAGTTACGTCCTGAAAATCATGTGAACACAAGAGGTCAAGGCCATCCAATCTGAAGCATCTTCTGTGTGGGTTCTGCTGGGATGGCATTAATGCTTTCACTGCCATGTGGCTATTGGCAGGGATGTTTTAAGTCAGAGTTAATGTCTGAATGTCATTGAAATCAATAAAATCAAGTTAAATTAAGCGTCTATCAGCATGTGGCAAATGCTGCACGATCTTCTTTTCTTCACCATCTTCAGATTTGCTCAGTGCTTGTTCAGCTGGCATTTTGGTGGTTTTTAGTAGGTGTACGAAGACAGTTCTCCTCACGTTCACACAGGTGTCCTTGCAGATCCACACAAAGTGGCACAATACTGTTATTAATTTCAATGCAAGATCTGTTGGTTTACCCTTTCAAACAAACATGAATTTTGTCAAATGTTTAGCTTGAAAAGTTCTTGTACTAGTTTCTTTTACCCTGTGATGCATGAATTTTTAAATAACAAAAAATTATATTATTAAAATATATTAATGTTAATTACATTAAATAGCGTTATTTATATAGGCTACTATTGTAGTAGTTATTAAAAGCGTTTGTTTTTGTGTTTAGTTTCTGTATTAAATTAGCTACATTAATTTCGGGTTTAGTAATTTTGGTCTTTTTCATTTTTTATTAGTTTGGACACTAGTAGGCCTAAAAGTGATTTGTGTCGGAAACTCCTATGATGTTATATATGACTGAATAATAATCCTACAGCGCGAGGATTATTAGTTCAGTTAAATTAAAATGTATTTGTATAGCACTTTGCACAATAAAAGTCATCTAAAGTGGTTTTACGGTGTCCAAAATAATTCTGTTTAGCTCATTCTAAAACTTAAAATAGAAATGAAAATTTTGTATTTGAATTTTGACCGGGAGCATTTAAAGTGACAGTGCGCGCTTATAACTGAACGTACTCCGTTGGTGTTGGACAATCGTTATAGTTAGCCTATGTATAGTCGTCCTAGGTGTGAACGGGTCTTAAAATATGTGCTATATATTATCTCACTTGAAGAGACATTGAAGCGGCCCCTGACGGTTGGTTGCTAAAACGACTGCTAACGGTTGTTCGACAGGAAAACTCATATACCAACACGATCTCATGAATGCGTATAAATAAAAACAAAAACTCGTGGTATTGACACGCAAAAATTGACTTTGGCGTGTATATGCTACGCAATGGGTAGGATTAGGGTTGTGGGGTAGATGCGTATCATATGCACGCCAACAAATTTCATATCATATGCACACGAAAACTGCGTATTATATGCACGCCAAACATGTGCGTATCATATGCACGCCAAAGTCCATTTTTGCGTATCAGTACCACGAGTTTTTGTTTTTATTTGGCATATACGCATTTTCATGAAACCGGGCTCTATTATAGTAGCCTAAGTTTTAGTTCAGTAATGTTGTTTATTACTAGGTTTTTTAACGTTTTTAAATCGTTTTATTTAGGTGAAATGTCTTGATTTTAGATAAGTAGAGATACTTCTGAACACATTATGGCAAACATGCATGGTGGAAGATGTATTTTTTAGAGTGTTTGCTCATCTTAGTAAGGCGTTTTCTGTCAGATGTTAAATACTTAGAAAATGGGTTTAAGATGTTTTTGATTTAGAATGTATGTAAAACTTCTTTTCAAAGATGTTTATAGTTATAAATGTTTAGTAGTTATAAATCTAAATATAGATAGATGTAGTTATATATAGATGTAGTTATATATATATATATATATATATAGGTCTAGTTATAAATCTAAATATAGATGTTTGTAGCTACACTAAATATAGATAGATGTAATTATATATAGATGTAGTTATATATATAGGTCTAGTTATAAATCTAAATATAGATGTTTGTAGCTACACAACAGATGATTTCCAGATGAAGCACTCTTTAACAGATATTATCAAGATGTATTTGTGTGCTATCTTTCACAATCTGCTCTCTTATAAAGTTCCTTGTCCAGTGGTCATCAGAAGCTTCTGCAGGGTGCTGAAGATCAATGTGGACAGGTGTGTTACGGAAACAGCTGCTCCTCTGGTTAATGGTCTTCATCAGCGTCTCCCAGGATCTGCTGAGTAACGGGAAGGAGCTGAAGGAGGTGCGCAAGTGTAACACGACGAGTGTCTAAAGTTTCTGAGCACTCAGAGCCTTTACCAAATGCAGCCGGCACAGATTAACCAGCTTTAGATGAGAAAACTTGCAACAAATATTTGTTTAGACACATTATACCAGTAAAACAGAACTCTTCTCTGGAGACACACACTTTCTGGCACATCTCCTAGTATATATACACACACTCTATGGTTTTCTGTCCTCTGTATCTCACAGACTTGCAGCTGTCGGTGAGATTAGACATTTAGCAGGTGTCTATTTATAGTGTGGGTTAAACAGATTACAATGGCACGTCAGCACTTCTGATCCTGCTGTTTAACAGCCAACTGAAAACAAAGACATACACTACATCATGGCATGATTCAGACCTCTGAGCCTCTGCTGTCCGTCAGCAGGTCCAGACTAAACCTCAGCTGGCCTCAGGGGTGGTGAGATGATTTGGACCGTGCTGCAGATGTCTGACAGTTTGTGGCATATGTGCAAATAGCTTGATACTCTTAGAAGCTCCATTAAGAAAACCAGTCAAGAGTGTTAACATAGACACACAACGGGGTCCAAAAGACCACACTGGAAAGAAAGTTTTAAGGTTTGGAAATTATATTATGTCAAATGGATTAGAAGCATTTCATGTGAACTCTGATGTTCTTGCTTCGATTGAAGATGATCAGCATCTAATTATGATTATCAGAACATGATTATCAGGTTTTGTTCATGCATGTCCACTGCGAATTAGTTTTAATTACAGTTTTCACTCAATTTGTTGCGAGTTAAATTTTTAGTTCCCTTGTATAAAAAAAAATAATAATAATCCTAAAGGATTTCAATAAGAAACTTGTTCTAATTAGAATTTCTATCATAATTTTTAATTATTACTTTTTTTTTTACTAAGAATTATATATATATATACTGTATATATATATATATATATATATATATATATATTGTAACTGGGATCCATTGGCATCCTATTTAAATCATTCTCTTTTATGTACATTGTCTCAGTAAACAAGCTGCTGCAAAGAAAATGAACAGGATAGGAACAAAATCCTTAGTGTCATTAAGTCCTGTAGGAATCTCATAGGAATTGTTTCAAAATATGATTTTGGATTTCGAAATTCTAATTAGAATCCTGTACAATTTTCATATTGGAATCCTTTAGGATTTTAAAATGATTTAAAATTAATTTAAAATTGTTCTAAATATTTGTTCTAAACTAATTTTAAATAATAAAAAAATAACTATTAAATCAGAAAAGAAGGCAAAATAGCATTGTCACTAGTGGATTTAGACTTTTGCAACAAAATGCACATATACAAACTATACAATGTAAAATTAAATTATACAAAAAGTACTATGGGTGTTTATTCATACCTTTAGTATATTCATACCTTTAAAGCAAGTTATACTGATGTTTAACATATTGCTCTGTATGATATTGTGATTTATGAACAGAGACATTATGTTACTCAAACATAGTTTATTCACTGCAATGCATTAGGAGCATTTCTGTTCTGCAGAGGAAAATATATCTACCTCTGCATGTACTCATGTACAAATACAGTGGTCAAAATGTAAACATTGCTGAAGAAAATCAACAAGTTAGCATATTTCATATACTTCATTCAAGAACATCAGCATCAGTAGACTTAAACCGAATGAGTTTCCTTTTATGAAACCATAAGCAAGTGAATAACTGAATGAATAAATAAATAAGTCCAGATAACAGGCAACCAGTTATTAAGACGAAGAGCAGAGGAAATGTCCCAGTAAAGCGTCACGGCTCATTCAATGTGTCTACGACACGATCAGTGCTGATGCATTTTAAATATCACAGAAAAGCAAAAATATATACATGTGAGCAAATATGTATTTTCATACCAAATCTGTGCTCTAATAAATAACTCGATGCATAATAAATGATCACATTCACAAGAATCAAATGATGGCCTTCAACTAGCCCTCAATTATTTTTCCATCTAAAAATATGAATAACTTGACATCTTTGTGCAAAAAGTGGATTAAAATGATGATTGTTGGTGATCGGTGAGGAAAATACACTTTTTTTTAGAAAACATTTCACGACTTGCACAGCACTGCACTTCTAACACGGCCTCTCAAACACAAATTCACTGACCATGTGATCGATTAAAACAAACCAAACATCAGTCAATCACATTCAAAAGAACAGTACGTTTTACAGCTGACATTGTACTGACAGGCCAGCTGGAGCGTCTAGAACAGGGGTGCCCAAACTCGGTCCTGGATGGCCGGTGTCCTGCAGAGTTTAGCTCCAGCTTGCCTCAACACACCTGCCTTCAAGTTTCTAATATGCCTATTAAGACCTTGATTAGCTGCTTCAGGTGTGTTTAATTGGGGTTGGAGCTAAACTCTGCAGGACACCGGCCCTCCAGGACTGAGTTTGGGCACCCCTGGTCTAGAATAACATTCTGGAAAGATCGGAATAAACAATCATCCGCGTCAGAAACAAATCCTTTTTAACAATAAATGTTTGGTCCTCTCAGAAAAAATTTTTGATCGTTAAATCCCTGCAGCCCATGTTAAAAGTCAGAACAGAAGATCTGAAACCTTCTAATAACCACCAAACACTGAAAATAAAATGACCATTAAATTCCAACAGAAACAAGATACTGAAAATATTAAAGTATTTGTGATACCAAATGTGTTTTGGTGTAATATTTAAACGTTTGGTCCTTAAATGCATTCATAACAAAGTGATTGTAGCCAGTGTAACGGAGGCCAGCGGTAGGTCTTCTTGTTAGTGCGTCCGCCTCCCATGCCGGAGACCCACTCGGAACAAGAACGAGGTGTGGCGGTGAGGACCTGGGAGAGAGGGGTTACATTGGTGCCGTGACCCGGATGGGAGTGAGGATTAGGGGGGTGAGTGTAACGGAGGCCAGCGGTAGGTGCTGTGCAGGTAAACCTCACTCCCCTGATCTCAAGAGATGCACTAGCGACTGACGCTAGTGGCTGCAGTCTTTAGCCTCCTTGTTAGTGCGTCCACCTCCCATGCCGGAGACCCGGGTTTGAGTTCCACTCAGAACAAGAACAAGGTGTAGCGGTGAGGACCCGGGAGAGAGAGGTTACACCAGCATCAAAAAATATGAATCATTTTAATATTTTATGAATAACTGCATTTCATATTTCGAATTTAAAGGAATGCATGTAACTTTTTATTCAGTTTTTGTTGTCAATTGTCCAGTGCCTTCTGTAATGGTCCTGTAGAGCTGGTTTGGGATCTTTTTCTTGCAGCCTCATCATATCAAATCCATCCTGGAGCCGCCTCTACCTCAGCCGAGCAGAGAAGCAGCGCATGTACTCCGTCATCCAGCGCTCGTCTGCCACACTCAGTGCTGATCTTCTGGACTTCTCCGGGTCAGCTGACTGTGCCCGTCGGTGCTCTGATGATCTTCCACCTTTTTTAGCCTCTCTTCGTGTCTGGACGCCCACGTCGGCCCGATGAATCTGCAAATGAATTCAGATATATTCAGTTTCTAGGATCTCTGACTCATTTGCAGTTTTTTACACAGGTGAAATCCAGCTCTTTAACCTACTAAACTTTTGTAAACCAGAGAAGGTAATCTGACTGTAGCTTCAGGACATCACTGCTCCACGCTGAATAATTCACCGCTTCCACACGCAGTGTCAGATGACACACAGTGCTTCATTCCACTGATTAGAACACGGCTGTTTAGTCGCTTCAAAATTCTCCTCTTTGTTTGTATCATTTATTCAAATCTGTTAAAAACACACTCATGCTCACTTCTGCTACTGGATAGCCATGCAGGGAAAAATACAGTGCAGCTTTTTAAAATATTGAACTATTTTTGATGTTTATAGGTCAAATTAAAAATAATGGTCAGCACGCCAATATATAGTGCCATTGCGCTTTAGGCGACCCGAGTTCGAGTCCAGCCTCGCTTCCTGTCAATATACAGTGGGTACGGAAAGTATTCAGACCCCCTTCAATTTTTCACTCTTTGTTATATTTCAATATGGGGTGCTGTGTGTACATTAATGAGGAAAAAAAATTAACTTAAATGATTTTAGCAAATGGCTGCAATATAACAAAGAGTGAAAAATTTAAGGGGGTCTGAATACTTTCCGTACCCACCGTATACTAATCCTAATAAAAGGCAAAAATGCCAGAAAAAAATAACTATTTATGGTTATGTAATATGAGAAAATATATTTAAAAAGATCAGAAATATAAAAAAATATTTGTAATAAAAATTAGTTGTAATTCCTTTCTGCTAATGGCTATCTATACAGCAAAAATAATAATAATAAAATAAAATAAATAAATAATGATAAACAAAATAATTAATTCTATAGCCAAACTGTGTTATTTATACAAACTGAAGCTTTTAATTTTCTTTAATATATGGCCACATAATACAATAATATATTGAAAAAGAAATCAAACATTTATAATATAAAATATTTTTTGATTATATATTAGTAACATATTTCTTTAAATATGTTTTCTAAAATATATATTATAATAAAATGTGCTTTGAAATATATTTACAAAGAATATCTGAAATCTTTTTTTGTCGTATGGGTACAAGACGTTCTCATGGCAAATACATCTACATCTGAGGTAATGATCTGAGAGTAGTATTCATTGCCTCTAATATCAGATACGATACAGAAAGCTGCGGTTACCTCTCCAGCGGACATAGACGCTCTCATATTCGGTGTTCTTCTGTCCCTGGTCTCAATGTGCCTTTCTGCCCAGTCATAATGGATAAAAGACCGTCTGTTGTCACGGCTGGACATCCGCTCCTTGGTGTTGCCTGGTGGTTGGCTCTTGGCCCGGGATGGTTTTCTTGATACGGATAGTTGAGATTCATCACTATCCAGCTCTTTATTAGGGTAGCACGGATCTGAACGGGGTGCCCGGCGTCTCTGTCGCCGTTTTGGATTAGATTCTGATGGTCCGTTAGGAGCCACATCTTTGTAACCATTCTCTGCGACAAAAGCAAAGTGAGTAGTTAACTAAAAAATGAAAATTTAAATCAGGTTTCAATCAAACTGAAGCTTACGAGACATGAACGTACCCAAGGGAAGTGAGCTTTCCACGGTTGCACTAGTATCCGTGTGAACCTCTCCATTCACCTGTGGCTTCCAGGAGTCCAGAACCTCTGCATTCTCGTTCTTGGACTCTGATGAGGATGTGTAGTGTTTGGCATTTGAGACGTTCCCCTCCTGCAGTTTGGGACTGGACCCTCTGCTCGAGTCGGACCCGCTGTCCCATCCATCCACGAAGAAGGGCCTGTGTGTCTGCTCCATCAGCCTCCGCGTCAGTCTGTATTTCACAGAGTCCTCGTAACATTTCGAGAACGTCTCCCACTTGGGATCTCTGAACTTCTTCATGTACTCCGTCCGGATCTTCTTGGACATCATGTTGTTATTGGTAGACATTTCGCCCTGCTGAAATAATCACCGAAGGCATTAACATCATAATGTGTCAGTCTTGTCTATTCACACTCGCATACTTGATGTCCATCTGTTCTAAGTTGTACATAGTACGGATTGCGATGATATTAGTATTGCACTCAGCCCTACCCTAGGAGGAGTGCATTGTGTTATTCCAGTTCTCCGGTAGAGTAGGTTACAGCCCAGTGCCCACATTATTTATTTATATTCTTTACATAATACATAAGCCGATGTCACATTTCTAAAGGGACGTTTTTAATACACGTTTATCGTATGATTAATAAATTGCTACGATGCTGCTGTCGCGTTTTTGCGAGCATGTTCATGCATGCCTAATCATAATCTATCACAACATACTGCATTATATAAAGATGCAATCCTATTTATTGTTATTAAGAAACTGGTAAAAATAATTGAAATGTTATTCGCCTGAAGAAAACCGTCTGATTACGTTGGCAGCGCACTATGTTTACAGTCTGTCTTCACCTGCCCTGAGTAGCCTATGTAGGTAAACACTGACTCGGATAAGTGTAAGCGCTTTAAACTCACCCACTCCTTTCTTTTCCGTTCCTTATGCTTTAACGTTGGATAAAGACGCACATTTTTATTCTTACATCCTTACGTACATCTATCCATCACTGTTGAGCGCCTGCTGCGTACTAGAAAAACAAGCCTCGGCGATATTAAGGCTTTGGTGATTTACAGTGCGCATGCGCACAATATCACTTGGCCTGCCTGAGGACTTGATGAGCAAATACGCACGCACAATCCAATCTACCGCTTAAAACTGATCCTAATTTGATTATAATCGTCTACTTTATTCCAGTGCATAGAATAATTAGATTATTTGTGGAGTAGTTTGTCTTTAAACGTTTTCCAATTTTTTTTTTTGAATGGAAAAAGGCGAGAATATCATTTGTAACAGGTGACAGTTCTAATACTACATTCCTCTCATTACTAGTGATGAAACTTTCTCAGCGCATGCGCAGAAAAGGTCTTTGTCAGGAAAATATTTTAACTCAAATATGAAACAAATATGAGGTATGAACATTTTTGGATGTACAAACTTATGCCCTTCAGCTGAATCTCATATTGATTTGATCTCTGTGCTGTGTGCATGTTAAAAGTTAACACGAATGACTGACGTCTATCAACAACAAAACATTTTATGGCGGTATGGTAACCTTACGAAAATTAACCACGGTTTTACGATAAATAAAACCGGGGGAAAAAACATGATTACTATAGTTAAACCATATGGTAACCATATAAATTAACCATGGTTTTGCAACACTAACCATAGTTTAACCATGGTAATTTGTAGTAAAAATGGTTATACAAATTCAATATACCAGAAAAAAAACATGGTTACTACACATTTACTATAATAATAATACAATAAAACCATGCTTAATTTTCGTAAAGGGCACATCATTGGTATTACAGGGTAAAACTATAAAACATTTTTCTTTACAGCTGACAAAAGTTACCATATAAAGAAGAAAAGTATTCAGTAACTTATTCAGTATTAAATCAGTATATATATATATATATATATATATATATATATAATAAGTAT